CCCCCCCCCCCCCCCCACACACACCCTCCATTCGACTCGCCGAAAACCTCACGGCGCTACCCGCTTGGAGATGTGAGACCCTGGTCCAGTGAGTACCCGGCGTGCTCCGCCTCGGCTTTGTGGGGATACGAGGTCAATGGTCTAACGACAACAGCATGCACGACTATGAGTACCCCCTTCCCCCGGAGCTCACCTCTGCAGCAGCGCGGCGACCTTCGGCGGAGGCACACGCCCCACCCCCTTGCCCTCCACCGTCGTCGCCCCCGGTACCGCCGCCGCCGCCGCCGCCGCGACAGCGCCTGCCGCCCCCTCTTCCCCACCCACCGCCTGGCTGGCGCCTCCGGCCTTCTCGAGCTCAGCGCCGCTGACCACATCTTTCTGGGAGAACTCCAAGCGGCACAGAGGGCACTTGTTCTTGCTGCCGCCCGCCACCGTCGGTCCTGCCTTCACCATTGCTCCCAGACACTGTTGTGTTTCGACATTCGGCGTGGGAGGGGGTACTGTACAGTCATCCCTCGGCTATGGACACCATCTTTTGAGGACATTCCCCCGGTTAAGGACAGTTTGTTTTTAAACGGGCATGTTGGCTCGCAGAATTGTGTAACATACGGAGGGGTACCAACCTTAAGGACACTTCCCCGGCTCAAGGACACCTGTTTCAACGAAAAAACCGTGTGTGTCCGTAACCGAGGGATTACTGTACTGCCTATTGTTAGCCGTTGGTCAGTTAGCTATTGGCGGGCACTCCATAATCCTATCTGAGATGGTACCACATGTATCGTTGGTCCATTCTCCAAAGGACAAATAACCCCAAAAATCGAAGACTCTCATCATCGTGACTATGCATACGTACCTACGTGCCACTGCTGCCTGTGTGCACACAAAAAAATTTCTTGCTCATCGTGCCCTCCTACCATCTACGTAGCCAGAGAGACGGAGAGAGTGAGAGTGGAGGGGGAGGGTTACCCTTGGATGTCAGCCTTCGACACGACGGTGTGGTATGGGTATCATTTCGCCTCGACCATCATTGTGCGCGTCAGGCGGTTCAGACAGCATGGCTATCCTTTTGCAGCTTGGCGACGTGATACCACATGATGAACTAACCTTGCTGCAGAAACCATGGCCGCACCGGCGCAGCACGCGGGCATCGGCGTGGCCAACAAGCTCCAGGCTTGAAAAAATCCATCGGTGTGTCGGGAGATAGAGGGGTGGGGCGATGGGGGTAGCGACAATAAGTTTGTTGTCTATGCCGGCACGCCGAATCAACAGGCCGGCGTGCCATTCATCGTTGCACAAATGGCAAACCATTGTGAGCCAAGAAAACTGAAGTTGCTCACGACAGCGTACATGTGGGGGCGCCTACAAATCGACCTCGTGTCCAAAATTGTCAGCGACTCTTTGACGCGGTACCACAAGGTTACCTGTGACGCTGATCGGTCGCCAAGACAAACAAGCCAAGGGCAAAGAAGAAGGACAAGGAGGAGGCGAAATGAGCGTGCTTGATCGCGCACACGCAGTTGTGGTACGGTCGACGCCCCTCAAAGCCAACATCAATCGAAACACAGACGCCGATGAACTCACTCGCTCGGACCGACGCGGGCTGCATCGCTAGTCGTGATCCGCTCCACAAAACCTAACCTAGAACCCCTATCTACCTGGATCTTTTGCATCTCTCACCAAATGGCGCATTCGGCTCCCTCGTCCTGCTCGAGAAGCCCCTTGAGCTTGGCGAACAGCTTCGTCGCTTCCTGAACACATACCAGATGGGGAACAGGAAGAGAAGCACACAACCGCCACGGACGTGAGTCTTTTTTTTGTTTTTTTTGGTCTTCACTTCAAATCAGTGCTCACAGCCGTTTACTCCAACCCGTGGTCACACAGAAGAACCGTTCTCTACCCTCCCCTCCTGCGGTACTTACCCTTCGATTTTTAATGCGAGAAGAGTTCAGCACTCTCTTCCCTCTGTGTACACACGAACTAGCGCTATCCACTAGGCCAGGAGCGGAAGCGAGAGAAAAACTCACTTTGCAAGAAAAGCTCGCTTACGCCGGGATTCGAACCCCTGACCTGACCTCCAGAAGGTTTCGTGGTTACCAACTAGACCACCGGGGCGACCGGCTCTGAGTCTACAAGGGTGCGGAGATCTCGTTCTTATTCGATGTGCGTTTCGGCCTGCTCGTAGATGCCTGTCGCAACAACAGCAACAACAAACAACCCTGTTGGCCTGTGACCTCTACTCTAGCCACGAAAAGCATGTCACAGTACAAAAAAAAAAAAACACCTTCGTCCCAACGTCTCTATTGACGCCAGCACATATATGAAAGAAAAGCTCAGGTCCTTCCAGTTCTTTGATATTTTTAGAATTGCTTTGCCAAACTACGAAAAGCAGTACTCAGGCCATTCCTCACACTTGTACTGTTTCTGACCAGAGAACGACCAGAAAACATCACCCCAATCCACATTGTTCTACTACTGCTCTGCCCAACCCTCCACAGAAAGTGAAAAACAGATTCCTACCTCTTTCCACACATTTCTGCAGCTGACATATCCAACCAGCCAGAGAGATAAAAAATATCTCTTTCACAACACTATCTCAGCGTAGCTATGTCCAATCAGCCCAAGGGAAAAAAATAACCTCTTTCACAACACTACACATCTCAACTTAACTATGTCGAACCAGCCAGACACCAAAAGAATGGAGAAAAATCATCTTCCGCATCTTTCTACAACTGATCGTATTGTTTTGTGCCCGGCTACATGTAGTAGCACGACAAAAACAACAAACAATCTCACCTCCTTGCCGAGCTTGGGCCCTTCCTTGGCTAGCTGATTGAGCACCTTCCTCGCCGTCTCGACCCTGCCCGAAGGGACGAGGCTCTCCGCACAGCACACCTGACGCAGCCGGAGCAGGCACTCGAGAACGCTGGCGTACTGGGACATCACCTAAGGGCAGGCAGAGCGCCAAGCGGGCGAGAGGGCAAGAGCGTGTAACTTGATTGCTATTTTTGCGTCGCAAAAAAAAAACACACACACACACACACAAAACACAGCAACAAAAAAACACGCTCTAATCATCATAATTTGATTGATGGGGCAAGAGACCAAGCAGTGGTAAACACGGGACAGGCGACGATAGCTCAGAACAGAGAAGACCCTCGCACGAACGGCGTATCACACCGAGCCCCCCCCCNCCCCCCCCCCCCCCCCCCCCCCTCTCTCTCGCAACACACCTCTGCTTCTCCCTCGGCGAGAGCGGCTTTGAAGGCGGCCCTGGCGCTGTTGAAGAGAGTGTTGTAGGCCTCGCGGTGGTCGTCGTCCATCTGGACGCGGTGAATGACCCCCACCTGTACCCACGCCGTTTTTTTTTTTTTTGTTCAAAGGGGCGGGTCAACAGCGACGGCGCGCGGTGAGGACGGTAATGTATTTGTGTCGGCTCGCCAAAACGAATGTAATGATAAAAAAAAAGAGTGATGCAATATTTTGGAAAGACTCAGTAGTGCAACATTCAAGTATACACCCCCACCCCTCGAGGCAAAATGGGGTGCCTAGTTGCGCAAGAAGTTGTTTTTCGCGCACCCTTGGGGACACTAATATTCTCTGTGTATCCGTACCTGAAAAGACCGTGTCAAAATACGTGTTCCCCGAAACCAAACGAAATGAACCAAGAGCAATCAGATAACATCTTCCACAAAACCAAACAGTAGTGACCTGGTTCGCGCTCTTTGTGAGAAGGTACAAGACACGTCACCTCCACCCCTCCACCTTCTCCATCGTACGTACCATGGTACAGTACGCCTTTACCTTGGGGGGAAGCTTGCCCTTGAGCACAGACTTCGTCCTCCGCAGGCAGACGCTCTTCATGAGAACCCTCAGGCGGGCCAGGCCGGCGTCGCTGCCCGATCGGATGGGCCGCCCGATAGCCTGCGGGATTTGATGCCATTGTCGGGGGGCGGGGATGAGGAGGACAACACAAGCATAGGCGGCGGCGGTTCATCTACCTGGCAAGGGACGGTGTGTAGCTTGAAGCAGAGTACGAGGAGGAGGTGTAAACGTGTAAACACAGAGGTAGGTGGCGGTTGATCTATCTCTCAAGTGCAGGTGCATAGCTCGAAGAAAACAGCAGGCGGCGGCGGGTCATTTGTCTCTCGAGGGAAGGTTCCGTGTAGCTTGTTTCAAGAGGATGGCCATGACAGATGGTGGCCCTGATTTCGGTTCATTTCCAAGACACAAAACAACCTCACCGGAGGATAGCCCAGGATGACGATAGTGGTGAAAATGATGGGTGCGTCAGAAAATCGGTTTGAGTGCTTGTTGAACACACGACGCGACCCTACTTGTTTCACAGCACAAGTTATGCCTAACCCAGCCTACTCAGCTCAAGGGGAGGATGGAATCAATCACAGAGGAAGTGCACAGACAGAGACAAGCAAGGATTGGACAGACCTGCAGGAAGACTCTCGGGTTCGAAGCGGGAGCGAGGTGCAAGAAGGAGAAGAGAGCACCGATGTCCTCGGGCTTGTTGATGAGAGGAGTGCCGGTCAAGCACCACCGGTAACGAGACGATAGCGCCAGACACGCCTTTAATACGAGATACAAAAAAAAAAGTGACCTTTTGAGAGCAAGGCAATATGAGGGGGGGGGGGGGGGG